CCTGCTGATCCGTTCATGTAGCTAAAAAATTAACTAGATGATATTTTTGTAATTAGTGAGCTATTAGAAAGGAATTGAGATTGTTTTTTTAAAACCCTCCATCAGGGTGAGGGATGAATTGTTTGACTTTGCTTAAAGATGTACGTAGTATAATCTGATTTTATATTGTGTCAGTGGTAGTTAGAAGTGTATAGCGGAGAACAACTGTGTGTTAAATGAATCGGACAGAGATACAGAAACATACCATACTGAAAGTATCTTTACTTATAGTAGCTGTTCCCCAGTCCTACTATGTCCAATACAGCTGTTGAGAAAGTAAAACCAGATCCCAGAGAAAGAGAAAAGAACACCCTAGAGCAGGCATAGTTCCCCTTCCAATAGAGGTTGTAGTTGAGTCACTTGCCTATGTGACATTTCCCCACTTATTGGAAAACGCAGGCAGCATTGGCTAGAGCATAACGTTAGTTTTACAACTGTGCACAACTTAATAAGTAGTAAAAGTAAGTAAAAATGTAACGCAAAGACAACAGCTACATTAGAAATGACCAACATTTGAAATATTTTTAAAAGAATTTCGTTCCAAATGGTGTGTGTTTAATTTGGATTCCAAGCATTTCTGCTACTTTGCTCTGAATGTTCGTAAGTGGAAGTTTGTTTTAGCCCGCTGAGTTTTGCGGAGTAGTACACAGGAGAGGCATTACATATTGGAAATGAATTGTTGTGCATGACAGTTACTCTCAGATAAAAAAAAAGGGATCTTGTATATTTCTCTCCAAGTATTATAAAGTTTGGCTGAATCAAGAAGTTTGATACTGCAAAAAAACAGATTATGCTCTATGTAAACCATATTGGCATCTGTATAATAAAGCTTGCCCACAGTATTAGCAATAACTGCTTTTACTACATGAAAGCAGGTACTGGGGGAGAGGGGGAAGAAAAAAAAAGAGCAAGTACCAGCCATACCAATAAAAAAAATTCAGAAGTGCAGTAAATAGGAAGTGTCCTATTTTATTTTTGCTATTTCAAATAAATATTTGTACTTTTTAAAAAGAGTTTCAAAGTTTTTAAGATGTTTAAATAAAGATCACCATAAATGTTGAAAAATGTTTGACATGATTAGAGGCCTGGAAAATCTGATTTATGTGGAAAGGCTGAAAGAACTGGGATTATTTAGTCTGAAGATGAGAAGACGGAGGGTGTATTAGGTAGCAGTCTTCACATATTTGAAGGGTTGTTATAGAGGATGAAAATGGACTATTTCCTGGTTGACTATACATGTGCTTATTCGCATTTTAATTAGAATGCATTGGAGCAGACTCAATGGATGCCCTCAATTAATTAGAACACAAACTCTGCATATAACTAAAACACTAGCATTGCTTCATCATCCTATTAAACCTCCATGTTATTTTAAAATGGCCACAGAGGCGCTTTAGCTAAACCTCCTTGAATAAGGTTTATCTCAAGTGCCCTGTGGCTATTTTTAACTGTGCAAGGGCTTAATAGACATGACAATGAGGCATTTTAATTGTAGTGCCTCACCAGGAATTGTTCTAATTAAAACACCCCCTCCACCATTGGTGACATGTACAGGCAGCCCCTGTGACTACGGGGGTCAGCACTAGGAGCAATTGTCTCAGTAAGACAAAATTGCAGCAGAGAAAATTTAGGCTGGATATTAGGAGGTACATTCTTGCTATGAGAGTGGTTAAGCTTTGGAATAATTGCAACTTCTTTAGGTAGCCCATCTCTATTTGTAGAAGTTTTTTAAAAGCAGGTTGGACAAATGTCTGAATGGTGCAGTCAGGAATGATCCTGCCTTGTGGTGGAAGCTGGATTAGATGACTTTCTGAGGTCCCTCCGGCCTTATTTTTCTAGGACTTAAATTGTACCTGAAGGCCTCTCGCAAAAGCCTGCTCCCTGCCATAAGAAAACACCGGGTCACAGAATTGAAGAAACAACTTTGGCACAAGGGGGCAGATCTTATTCTGCTTAGTAAGTGCCCAAGTGTAACCCTATTCCACCCATCTCACATCCTTGAAAAACAATTAATGCAACAAATGGTCAGGGTCTTCCTCCTGCTGTCCTAAAGCAGCAGCTTTTTTATGACTTTGCCTTAAGGCAAAGTGAGTTGTTGTAGAAATAGGTTATTAATGTTTTGCCAGGGACTTGAGCAAGGTGGAAGAGAATCACAATTAACTGCCTAATAAAAAGAATATTATTTTGCTTTTGGTTTCAGTTTGGTGTTTTTGAGACAAGGCAGGCCAGGGTTCACTACTTCATTAAAAAAAAAAAAAATCTTCATAGGGAAACTGTTAAGCAACCTTGTCAGGCATTTACAGTAGCTGCTTACAAGTTAGGAACACAGCATTTTCCTTACAATATAAAAATGCTGTTATGGGACTGTCAGTTGAGAAACTACCTCTTCCACATGCAGCATCAGTCAGCATAGGTGCAGAAGCTAGAGCTTAATTTAAATGAAAGTGGGCTGCTAGTAAGCCTTTCATTGTCAAAGCTTCTTTACTGTACCATTCACAGCTCCTCCATCTAGCAAAATTCAAGTGCAGTAGCTTTGGAGAGATGTTCTAGCACCCCTATCTTCCTCCTCTCAGTAAGAGCCAATCAAAAGTCATATTATTTTGATAGCAATTACCAAACAGAAGCAGGGAAGGGTCAGTACTATTTTTTTAATCATAAATCACTTACTGAAATGAATAGATAATTGTGCCTTAACTTTAGTGTCATATGGCCCCCACATTATTTTATTCATATAATGCCCCTGGAAGGACAGATGGTGACAGTTGACAAATACGTTAAAATAGAACCCGATAACCCCAAGACCAAAATGCAATCTATTTAAAGCTATTTTTCAGCTTGTAAATTCACTAAAATGTTTGTACATTCACAGGACACTAAGGGAGAGTTTTCTGCTTGGAAAGGTTGGTGCACTAGTTTAGGACAGTTATGAAAAACTAACCAGGCTACAACTTTTAAAAATACTGTATTTATTTAGATTTACTTAGGAAAACCATTAATGCACCCACACAGAGAATAGTAGAACAAAAGACAAACAAGGCTCTCACACCTACATTTTACAAAAAAGATCCATGGACATGGAACACTGATTGGGCACTTATATCCGGGCATAATGAAAACCCTTGAAATAGTAGCTTTTATAGAAGTAACTTCCCGCCAGAAGAAGTAAGTTAACATTCAAATTAGTAGAATTCCTTTACCAAAGCATCAAATATGAGAAACATAAGATAGTTATTGATTGTACTGATAAATAACAGCTAGTAAACTTCCTTTATCACAATGCTTTCTGCCCCAGCACATGCAAAGAAGCAGTGAAGCATTCATTACAAGACAACTGGGAAAATGAAACCTTTGCCTCCCCAGTATGTAGTGGTAGCTAAATCATAGGATAAACCCTACTGCATTCCTTGCTCCCTGTGTAGCAAGGAACTCTGGGTTACTTTTATCTGAATCTACAGTTGTTGTTGCCCAACTCTGATAAGCCTGATCCTTAGCAAGCGGCTGAGCTGAACTCCATGGGAGCCATTTTATTGGTCTCTCTACTACTGCCCAAGAAATGTGGCCAAAAAGTTTTTATCTACAATACACTAGTATCTCATTTCAGACTCAGCACTATATACAATTTTACTCTTATTTAGTATAAGAAGTGGTGTTTCTTCCAAGACATTTGTTATTTTGCGGACTGAATTATGGAATCTTCCTGCCCACTGGGTTGTTGAAAAATGCTGCACTTGAAGATAACATCAGGTTAAGAGACTTCCACCACCTGCCTCAGTTCCTCAAACAAGGGCGTGAGCTCCTTCTCTAAGCTTACGATCAACCCTGGAACAATAAGAAAAAAAAAATACAAATGCTTACATTCAAATGTCCATTAAGAGGCCTCTCTGCAAAGCATTTAGTTCCTTTCAACAACATACTTTAAAAACAAAACATATTTCCCTTTGGCTTTGCAATCTTGGTGGGAGCAGCACACAGTAGCTGTTGACAGCTGTACAAGCTACTGCCGAACTAAAGTGCCCTCAGTTCTCTCTTATTTGCAAATCAAATAAGAGAAGCAGAAATGGAGCCAATGCAGCATGCTCTTGCTCTTGACTAGGAACCTTCAGTATACCCTCTACACCAGGCAGCCCCACTCGAAGAGCAGGAGGGATGCATGCTGGAAAGCCACAGAACAGTCACTTTAGATCAGGAGTGTCAAATCTGTGCACTGGATCCAGATGGCAGGGGTTCCTACAAACAGCAGGATTAATCCCAGCATTTGAAGGAGCCACTGTTTCAGCATGGCTCCAGATGCCAGAAAGTTAACACCACTAGCTCACTTCCACCCCAAACATTTCTCTTGTTGCTCATCTTGGTCACCAGGGGCAAATAAAAGCCCAGATCTTAGCAGTGGGTGAGGAGGTTGGAAAAACACTGTTAAGTTCTGGGGTTCCAGAGTTGTGCTCAAACAGCAGAGATTAATGACATTGCTGCCTGGGCTCTGGCAGCTGCAGTAATGAGCCCTGTGGGCCAAATCCAGCCCCACCTGAGAAGCCTCATGTGCTGGATGATCCACCTCCACAGGCAGATCTGGGCTGCAGGCTTAGTTTGACCTTGATAGTTTAGATAAACTGGCCCCACACTACAGCATCAATGAATGCATCCAAGTGCCTGATTCACAGTTTGCATACCAAGGCGATAAGTAGAGAGGGGGTAGGAATAGGCTTGCTGTATTTTTGCTACTGGCAGCAATGAGAAAAAAATAACATAACAGACCCCACTTAATGTGCTATGGATCCAGAGCTGCATGTTCAAGCATAACTCTGAAATCACATGGAAGGCCACTGCTAAGCCAACTGTAAATGGGTACCTTACCATTTGGAATGGGGAAAAAAATCAGGCAGCAGACATGGGAACCGCATCCTTTTTGTGTGCGCCTTACCTGCTCTGTTGACCACCTGGCTTAGAGTGGGGGAATCTAAGTCACTTAAATGCTTTTGAAAAATTTTACCCAAACTATTGTTTTCTCTGCTGCTGTCCCTGCCCCCCCCCCCCCCCCCGCAAAAAAGTTATGACATCCTCTAACAATCCAGTGACAAATTAAAAGCAGTTTTGTAATGAACATTCAAAAAAAAATAAAAAAAAATATCAGAGACAGGTATTTTTCCAAATTAGCCAAGTCTTAAATATAGCTATTAGCTTTAAAAACCAAACCAAAACAAAAAAACCCAGAACAAACAGGCTGCTTACAGATGTGAGAAATTCTTCCCCTCTCAAAAAAAAACCCCAAACCCCAACAACAGGGCTTTACTTTAAGCTCAGCGGGCTCCGCTAGAGCTTAGTGCATGCCCACAGAAGGCAGTTTAACCCAGCTCACACAACTCCAGTACAGACTATGTGCTTCAGTGGGGCTTTTTGGCGCTTTTATCTAATAGTCAGTTCAATCAGCTGTTAGATAAAAAAAAGTGCCAAAAAGTTCTGCTGAAGCACCCAATCTATACAGATGTTGGGGAGCCAGGTCAAACTAACGTGCTTTGTCTTCTGGTAAAGCGCTGGGTTTTTTTCCCTCCTATGTGTATCAGCAGTCAAAATCTTTAACAGTTTAAATAATCATTGAAAATGAAAAAACATACCGGTATTGGCATTGCTGCTAGCAATGAAGCTTACTACCAAGGGTAATCGATTGAACTGGACTACCTTTAAAAAAAAAAAAAAAAGGCAAGAAAGTTCCCATAAAAAACAAAGTCAAACCTACTTTGCTTCAGAACACGATCGCTAAGCTTGTTATAGTAATTCCCTATTCCTGCAGCCCTTCAGCATAAGTAGCCCCATCAACTTAAATTACAAATAGGAATAATGATGGCAGAACTAGTTGTTAAGTAAACATTGTGGAAAAACCTGTGGATTAAAGAAAGGGTTATCAGCTTTTATAAAGCTATATGATAGGACTGCCTGCATGAGCAGGGGACAGGACTTGATGATCCAAGGGGCTTACATTCCTATGAAGACAGCAAATACAGACAATACATTTGACATGTGAGATCTAGTAAAACTGCAGGTCTACCCAAGAGCTGCAGAATACTGTTTATGTTGTCTAACCCTCTTGTTATCTGAACGGCTTTTTAAACCAGTCGAGGGAAGGAGAAGTTCCCAAACTACTCATGGAGAACAGGCGTGCCAAGCATAAACAACCTAAAAATATCAAGACTAATTTAGTTGGTCCAAACAATTAATTTTTGCATTATTTCTCTCTCAAACAAAGCTAAATATTGCTAAGTTGTTGGCATGGGTTTTCTAGGCTACTTTTGCAATGGAACATAAAAAGCTCTTTAGTCCACTGAGACGTGAGTGGAAGGAGTGCAAATCTGCTGAAGAATAATGGGTTACTTAAAGTTGCTTGCCCTGGTGTTAATCCTGCCACAGGAGTTAAGTCTAAAATAGGGCAGCGCAACTGGGGGCCCATGGCATGCAGCCTGTGCAGCCCCCAGGCTCACCCAGCCACTGCTCCCAACAGCAGTGGAAGTCTCTAGGCTCCTCCCACCCTCCTCTGGCTGCACTGTTTTACCCCCTAGAGTAGGGAGCACCAACACAGCATTGGGGGTTGAAGATGAGGCTGGGGTAGAGGGGTAACAAGAAGGGGGAGGGCAGCATCCGCCCATGTACCATGTTGCCTGCAACGCACTTGATGTAGCCACTAGAGCTTGTGGCCCCAGGAATTTAGAAGTCAGACAGCCCTGATTCAAAATAAGCCAGCACCATGACTAGCTGTTATGCACCATAGAAAATAAAGTCAACTAATTTAAATAATGAAACCTTAGTGAAAAATCCAACCATACAGCTTAATCTCCCCACTCCTGCCTACCCCACTTTTTAGGTATAGGTCCTGCCAGTGTCAAGACAATACTGAAATCTCTTACCTGGTATGTGTTGTAGTAACAGATGATACTTTTATTTTTTGAAAGTCCTAGTTTGCTTCCCTGGTCTGTTGCAAGCGCAAAGGTAGACAAAAAACCAGGTCTAAGAGCATGCTCTGGTGCATTATCATTGGCAACTAGAATAAATAATACAGTTTATATTCTTATACAATGTCTGTGCAGTTGGGTTACACATCTTGTGTTCAAGCAATAATAAACTAAATCATAATCGGCTTTAAAATGAGCATAAACCATTACCCTTTATCTTTACAATTATCATTTCAGCAGCCAGGCTTCGTAGTGTTCTGAAGAAGGCTTATGTTTCTAGAAGTTTGATGAACAATAATCTGTACTGATACGACCTTTTTTTTTTTTTTTTTAAATCTCATGCACAATAGGTCTGAAGTCAATCACATTTAATCTATACCAAGCTCCTGCTGTATTTCAGATGGTAGATAAAAGTGCGTAGTACTGCCATTGAGCCTCTGACGGACTCTCTGTCAGTGGCATCAGGGATGGATCCACAGAAGTTGGATGCATTACATGTCTATGAACAGAATTCAGTTAAATTGCTGTTAAAATAAAACTAGTGATGCATCACCTCCACCTTCTGACTGGTGACTTACAAGACTAATTCTTTATCAGTGATACAAGACAATCAAGACCATGCAAGCACACAGCATATACTTATGTAGAGGGTTTTCTTTAACCACACTTAAACCTTCAATGTTAAATAGTCCCAAATTTGAAGAGCCCAATTTCTAGATCAGAGTGCAACATTAACTGTACATTCAAACCAGAACACGGGAGAAACAAGTAAGACTTTTGTCCTTCAATTTAAGATTTCAAACAATTGTCTAAAATAGTTTAGACCAATGATTCAACCTTTTTTGGACTTGAAGCACTGTAACTTTTGTTAATTTTCAGAATTGGGTGCCACTAAACTAATTTATATATTTTAGCGCTTACCTCCTTGCAGAGAGGCCTGGGAGTAGGGGGTTGAGGGATCATTTAGGCAGGGACAAGCCTGAGCCTGCATTTATCTACTCAAGCTATCTGCTTCTCTCCTTACACCCTTGCTTATCTTCTCACACCTCATGGCACCCTTCAAAGAATCAACTCCCCAGCTGAGAATCACTGGTTTTGACACAGACCTCCAGAGAGGCAGGATCATTTAATCTAGCGCTCCCTCTTAGCCCCCAGCCTTATTTTTCTTAAGAAAACAAAAAACACTACTCCAAAAAAAAACCCTACACAACCATTAGAAGTTGTGAATTACCTTTGATAACAGGCACACCATCTCTGTCTGAGACTACAATAGCATGAAGACCTTCAACACTGTAAAAAGAGAGAAAGAACATGAGCATTGGGGAGAATTTCCATCCCAGCCTCCTCCCCATCTTCCTTTCACCAGTTCTTTTTTTCCTCAGCATTGTCCCCTTACCCATCTACCAAGTCAGAGCGGCGGGGCAGCAAAGACACCAGTCGCAGGGCTCAAATGCCTATATACTAATGCTAGGAGCATGGGGAACAAGCAGGATGAACTAGCACTCCTGCTTGCACTAAACACCTATGACTTAGTGGGGCTAACGGAAACCTGGTGGGATTCATCCCATGACTGGGCAGTACATATTGAGGGCTATAGATTGTACAGAAAGGACAGGGTGGGGAAAAAAGGGGGAGGGGTTGCGCTCTATGTCAGTGAGCAATATACGTCAACCCTCATCAAGACAGAATCGAAGGATGAGGAAGTAGAAGGATTGTGGGTTAGGCTACATGGGGGGCAAGGAGAAAGGGATTTGGTAATGGGGGTCTGCTACAGACCCCCACATCAAGGGGAAGAAAGAGATTCGGGGCTCCTGAGGCAACTCTCGGAGACCATAAAAGCTAAAGAGGCGGTAGTCATGGGGGACCTAAACTACCCGGACATCTGCTGGGAGTCACAGACAGCAAAATCCCACCGCTCACGTAGGTTTCTAACCTGTGTACAGGACCT